GTTTCTCCATCATGGAGAGCTCCTCTTTCTCCTCCTCCACTTGTTTCTCCATCGTGGTGGGCTCTTCTTTCTCCTCCACCTGTTTATCCATCATGGAGGGCTCCTCTTTCTCCTCCTCCACATGTTTCTCCATCGTGGTGGGCTCCTCTTTCTCCTCCATCTGTTTCTCCATCATGGAGCGCTCCTCTTTCTCTTCCATTTGTTTCTCCATCATGGCGCATTCCTCTTTCTCCTCCATCTCTTTCTCCATCATGGAGCACTCCTCTTTCTCCTCCATCTGTTTCTCCATCGTTAAGCAGACAGACTCTGCAGGAGGAGGTGGAGAACAGAGGAGGGAGGAGGACCCAGGAGAGGAGGAAAGTAACAAAAGAAGAAGAGGGAGAGAGAAAAAGTGGGGAGACAGGAGACACTGGGAGGAGAAAGATGTCCAGACAAACAAACACTGACTGAACACAAGACTGAGAGGATTCATTATGGGAGGAGTCAGTCTGAGACGAGGAGTCAGTTTGGGAGGAGTCAGTCAGTCTGAGGAGTCAATGTAGAAGGAGTCAGTCTGAGAGGAGTCAATAAAAGATCAGTCAGTCTGAGAGGAGGAGTCAATTCGAGATGAGGAAGTCTGAGAGGAGTCAATACAAAAAGAGTCAATACACAGCAAGTCAATATCAGAGGAGGAGTCAGTTTGAGAGGAGTCAGTCAGTCTGAGGAGTCAATGTAAAAGGAGTCAGTCTGAGAGGAGGAGTCGTTCTGAGAGGATTCAGTCTGAAAGAAGTCAATACAAAAGGAGTCAATACACAACAAGTCAATATCAGAGGAGGAGTCAATACAAGAAGAGTCAATATAAGAAGAGTCAATGCAGTCTGAGAAGAGTCAATACAAAAGGAGGCAATATAAGAGGAGCCAGTCTGAGAAGAGTCAATATAAGAGGAGTTAGTCTGAGGGGAATCAATATAAAAGGAGGCAATATAAGAGGAGTCAGTTTGAGAGGATTGTGTCAGAGATTACGAGTCAATATAAGAGGAGGCAGTCTGAGAGGAATCAATACAAAAGGAGGCAATATAAGAGGAGTCTGTCAGAGAGGAGGAGTCAAAATAAGAGGAGTTAGTCTGACAAGATTTGATATAAGGGGAGTTAGTATGTGAGGAGTCAGTCAGACAGGAGTCAATACAAAAGGACTCAGTGTAAGAGGAGTCAGTCTGAGAGGAGCTAATCTGACAGGAGTCAGTATAAGAGGAGTCAGTCAGTCAGTTATTGATCAGGGCGGACATTTGAGATTCATCATTCATCATATTGATCAGTTTAACCGATAAACAGACGATTTATTGATAAATAGAGTTTCAGGAAACACAAACCTTCCATCATCCTCTGCGCCTCCTGGGCAGGGCCTTCTCTGAGGGGGGCGGAGTCTCCATCCATCATCACTCCTATGGAGGAGGAGGAGGAGAGAAGGAAGAGGAGGGAGAGAGGAGGAGGAGGAAGAGGAGGAGAAGAATAGGAGGTTAAAAGGAGAAGAGGAGGAGAGCGAAGAGTGTGGATGAAGAAAGGAGGAGGAGGAGAAGGAGAGGATGAGCACAAGGAGAGAAAAAGGAGAGGAAGAGGAGGAGAGGAGGAGGAGAATAGGAGGTTTAAAGGAGATGAAGAGAGCGAAGGGAAAGTGTGGATGAAGAAAGGAGGAGAAGGAGAGGAATAGGAGGAGGATAAGAAAGAGAAGAGGAGGAGAAGAATAGGAGGTTAAAAGGAGAAGAGGAGGAGAGTGAAGAGTGTGGATGAAGAAAGAGGGAGGAGAAGGAGAGGAGGCGAACGAGGAGAGAAGGAGAACAAAGTGGAGGAGAGGAGGAAGAGAAAGAGAGGTGGAGGAAAATAGGATGGTAAAAAGAGAAGAGAAGGAGAGCAAAGGGAAAGTGTGGATGAAAAAAGGAGAAGACGGAGAGGACGAGGAGGAGGAGAGGAAGAGGAGGAGAGGAGGAAGAGAAAGAGAGGAGGAGGAGAATAGGAGGTTAAAAGGAGAAGATGAGGGGAGCGAAGGGAAAGTGTGGATGAAGAAAGAAGGAGGAGAAGGAGAGGAAGAGGAGAAAAGGGGGAGAGAAGGAGGTAATGAGGAGGTGAACATGTGGTTTCAGAGGAAAAGAGGAGTGGTGATGAGGAGGAGCAGAGGAGTCAGTGAGCATGCTCAGGAGCAACAAAACCTCCATGATGATGATGCAGCAACAAACACAATAAAGTTTTTGTTTAAATCTACTGCATCTCCTCCATCACCTCCTCCATCACCTCCTCCTCCTGTCTGTGTGTTAGGCCGCAGGCTAACGTGCTAACCGGCAGACGGCCGAGCGGTGAACCGGGCGGTGACAGACGGTCACGGAGAGGAAAAACAGCGCTGCTGCCGCCGCACAGAGGCTGCGGAGGAGGCGGAGGTTCGGAGGACCGGGAGAAGAGGAGGACAGATCGGGAGACGGAGGAGGACCGAGCCGGGACAGAGGAGGAGACAGAGGAGGAGACAGCGGACAGACAGGTGTCTTACCTCCACGCTGCTGCTGCTGCGGTCCGTCTGCTGCTCCACCCTGCTGCCGCTCAGAGAGGGAGGGGGCGCTGCTGCATGCCGGGAGGAGGCTGCTGTTACCATGGCAACCCGCTGCATCACCGCATCCTTCAGACATGGAGCTGAAGTGGAGGAAACGCAAGGTTGTCATTTTACTCGAATAGTTTCACATAGAAAGAGATTTTTTTTTTTTAGCCTGCAGCATTTTTTCCAAAGGAAAACCGTGTCTTTACCGCTTCTTCTCAGCAGCTGGTTTGTTTCAGTCCATCCATCCATCCATTCATCCATATATATCTACACACTGCTTAATGTTCTGTAGGGTCGTGGGGATGCTGTCTTAGGGCGAATGCAGAGTTCACCTGCAGGTAACCAGCCTATCACAGGGCGAGCTTCCTTCAGTCCACATAGTCACTGACATTTAAGCTGATAAAAATGTTTCAGAGAGGATTCATGATAAAACATCACATTAATATTTTAGTTTCAATTATACTTCCCTGAAGGACTTCCTGTCCAGAGCTGCATGGTGACTTGGGGGTCAACACTATCGCCTCACAGAACATGTAGATATAGAAGGTCGCCAGTTCGCGTCCCGGTGAGGACCCCTGGGATCCTGTGGTGTCTCCATGTTCTCCCTGTGCAGCGTGGGTTCTCCAGCTTCCTCCCACACAGTCCATGAACATGTTGAGGTTAA